TTTCAGTACATGAACACAGGATACAGATTATCTTTGGATTTATTTAGATCTTTAATTCTTCAGCAGGGTTTTATGGTTTCCTGCTTATATATTCTGTACATATTTTATTACATTTATATGTAAGTATCTCCCTCTTTTGTGGTGCTATTATAAAGGGAATAGTGTTTTCAATTTCAGTTGTTCACTTCTTTATACGCAGGAAAGCAGTTGACTTTTGTATATAAACTTATCCTCCCACCTTACTATACTTTTTATTTTCAGTAGTTGTTTGAAGTTTTCAAATTTTTATTGTAGATAACACATATCATCTGTGACAAAAACAGTTTTACTTTTTTCTTTCTAATCTGTGCATTTTGTTTCCTTCTCTTGTCTTACTGCACTAAAATTTTCAGTACAATACTGAAAAGAAGTGGGGAGAGGGCACATTCATGCCTGGTTTTTGATCAAAGGGGAAAGCACCCAGTTTCTTACCATTAAGTATTTTATTAGCTGTAGGGTTCTATTGATATTATCAAGCTGAGGATATTCCCTCTACTACTACTTTGTTGAGAGTTTTTGTCTGAACAGGTGAGGGATTTTGTAAAATGCCTTCTACATTAACTGAAATAATATGATTTTCCTTTCTTAGTATTTATTTTTCTTCTTTAGTATTAATTTACTTTCAAATGTATGATTCAGTCTTGGATGCCTGGAATAAGCCCCACTTGAGCACAATATGTAATTCCATTCCTACATGGTTAAATTTGATTTCTTAATATTTTAATTTTCTAATAAAATGTTTTAATTAATCATAAACTTTTCTAAAATTTAGGATTTTTGCATTTATGCTCATAAAGATATCAGTTTGTAGGTTTTTTATTGTAATGTCTTTATCTGGTGTTGATGTTAAGCACAGGCTGGTCTCATAAAATGAGTCAGAAAGTATTCTCTCTGATTCTATAGTCATCTGTACATAATAACATTTCTGATAACAGATTGCATATATGACAATGGTATCTAGGCTACACCATCTAGTTTTGTGGAAGCACATTCTATGCAATGCACACAATGACAACATCTCCTAACTTTGCATTTCTTAGAACATTTCCCCTAATGTCAATAGACATGTGAATATTCTCTGGTAAAGGCTGCAGAGAATGGGAATTATTTGTCAATCCTCTCTCCTGTCCCTTATTAATACTCTTGCCATTCATCTCACTAATGTATACATCATAATTACTTAATATATTATGACTATTACTTTGAACACTTATCTTTTAAGTTATTTAAAATAAGAAAAATAGTAATTTTATTTTACCTTTATGTACTCCTCCTATGCTGTTCCTTCCCATATAGAGATTCTGACTTTCTGAACTATATCATTTTCTTTCTCTCTGGAGAACTTTGTTAAAAAAAAAAAATCTTGCGAGGCAGGTTTACTAGTGACAGATTCATACAGTGCTTGTCTGTCTGATAGCAGCTCTTTGTTTTCTTTCACATTTGAAGAGAATCATTGGTGAATGTAGAATCCTAGGTGGGTGGGTTTATTCCCAACACTTTCAATATTTCACTTGATTCTCTTCTTCTGTGCATGGTTTCTGGTTAGAAAGCCAATGCAGTTCTTACTTGTACTCCTCTATAGGTAGTCACTGTTTTCAAAACTTTCTTTGTCTTCAGTTTTCTATGTCTGAACAAAATATACTTAAGTATTTTTTGGTACTTATCCTGTTTGATATTCTCTGTTCCAATCCTGGATCTGTGGTCAGATGTCATCAATTATAGAAAATTCTCAGCCACTCATGCTTCAAATATTTCTTCTGCTCTTTTCTTCTCTTTCTGGTATTACAATGTTTACATTACACATTTTGAAAATGTCCCGCTGTTATTGGATTTGAGTCCATTTTTTTAACAGCTTTTTTCTCTTTGAATTTCATTTTGGAAAGACTACTGATATTCTTTCAAGCTTACTTGGCTATATCAAATCTACAGATGAGTCTATCAAGGCTCTGTTTCTTTGTTTTTAGCATCTCCTTCTGAATCTGTTTCTATCTATTGCTTATGTTACCAATCTATTTTTACATGTCGTGTACTATTTCTAATAGACTCTAGCAAATTCATCTAGTTATTTTAAAAATATGTGATGCAATGAAATACTATTCAACAATCAACTAAGATAAACTGATGCCATCCACAGCAACATGGAAGGAGCTGGAAGGGATTATGCTCTGTGAAAGAAGTCAGGAGGAAAGAGAAAAATATTGCATGGTCACTTATAGGAGTAACATAGGGAATACAACATGGGATCAGGGGAAAAAGACAAAAATAGCAGGTAAACTATCAGAGACATCTGGCTAGGGAGGGGAAGGGAGTGAAACCAAAACATTATGGTGATGGTTCACAGGTGTCTCCATGGTGATAATTTTATGGGGATTACACCTGAGAGGAAGATGAATGATGACATAAAAAGAATATAAATTAAACTTTAAAAAGTGAGAATTAATAAACCTGTATCAAATCTGAGTTGAGTTCTGATGCTTAAGATTAACTGCCTAATAATTCCCTTATTGTTGAAAAGCAGACATGATGCAGAAGGTAAGATAAACTGATGTACAAAACAGGAGATTAGTGTGAGGTTTTATGTTAATATGGCCAAGAAGTGAGCTATGTTTAACATTAGCTATAACATTTGGAGGTTTTCATTTCCTCTAATGTCTTTGTTTCCTGTTTTCTTTGGGTTTCCTTAAAAACTCCATAAATGGTCTAAGCCCTAAAATCCAGCTCGCATATTGAAGGTCTTTTGATAAATCAATTAACGTGTGAGGTAAGGGGGGATATTCTGAAGTCCTGTATGTCTCAGTATTAACAAAAGACATCAGAAGCGCTTTTAAAGGGTAATATCCACTGGGAGAATATATTTGCTAAATATATTTGCTAAATAATCTCTATAAGTAATATGAAAAACTAAATGGCCAAATAATAGGCTAAGGAATGAATGAAACAGGCAACTCAGAAGGTTCTTGAAAGACTAATGAATATGTAAGTACATAGCATTTTCCTGGAAATAAGGAACATGCAAATTAAAACAATGAGATCCCTTTCAAACACTTTATGCTGAAAAAATTAAGTCTAATACTATAAAGCTTTGGCAAGGTTGCTGAAAGAGATCTCTGAAAGTCTGTTCACTGAAAGCTGAGATAACAGTCTGTTATCACAGTAATTCCACTCCCAGGTATGTAATCAGTAACAGTGCTTCTTAAAATGTCACTTTCAGACCACCAGCAGCACCATTTCCTGGGAACTTGTTGAAATGCAAATTCTCAAACTATATTCTAGATACACTGAATAAAAATTCTGGGCGTGGATCCTAGCAATCTGCGACTTAACAAGCCTTCTGGATGATCCCAGTATACAATGAGAATTAGTGTAATAAGAGTTACATATTCCCATTTTTTTCCACTGAGATCCACAGGAAGAAATGCATTCTATATTCTGGCCCACACACACATTGCATATGACACACACACACAAAAGTTTCAAAAAACAGGAATTTATCTTACTCTAAGGAATGCAGTTTAATATGTTCTATTTCATTTCATTTTTAAAAATTTCTGGCTGTGACTAATTGTAACCTAAAGCTTGAAAAACTGTCCTAGAGAAACTTTTATACACATGTACCATGAGTATGAACTATAAGGTTTGCTGAAAAATTGTCTGTAATAGCAAAAAAAAAAAAGAAAGAAAAAATCTCTAGAATGGATAAATGAATTAAAATATATTTCTACAATAGAGTAGTGTATTGTTCCTTATATGTTAGAAGTAAATTTCAAAAATGTGTATATTCAGTCATAAAAGCAAATTGTCAAAGGATCTATAGTCTATCAACTATATAGTTTTAAAATATGTAAAATTATAAATATATAGATATGTAGTAAAAATACAAAAACATGCATGGGAATAATAAATAGCAAATTCAAGATAGTGATTTCCTCTGGAAAGTAGAAAGGTGGGTGGGATTGTGAAGGGATAGACGGAAGGCTTCTGGTGGCTTTATAAGGCTTTACTATTTTTAAAATTTAAACAAATATGGACACTATTAAGAATTAATAAAGATGGTGGAGCTATAAAGGCTGTTTGCTATATTATTCTCCATAGCATTTTATATTAGTGATATTTAATAATAAAAAATTTTTAAATCCAGCTATGCTTGACTAACAGCAAGAATATATTAGAAATATAGTCACTCAATGGAAAGTGCTTTGGTATCCATCGTACAATGTCTTTAAAGAAAAAAAAAATCCATGGACAGATAGAAAGTAACATTAATTTTTGTTTTCTTTTTTCTTTTGCCTTTTTTTTCAAATTAGACACAACTAAGTTTATGACCTAGGTGCTTGTGTTGCCTCTTTCAGTGATATGTTAATAAAGTTTTCCATTCTAAATATAACATATACCATGAATATGAGATTATAATTTGATCAATAAAACAAATATTACTTACAACTTTACTTAGATTTTTGTCAATTTCTTGAGGCTTATAGGCCTTATGCATTCATTTTGTGCTTCGTTGCTGCTAAATCACACATCACATGAAAAGTGAGACAGCACTCTGAAGAGAAAATTCATGATCTAACAGTAAACTCTACGACAGGGGGCAAGTACTGACTAATTGCAGAGGTACCATGACTACCAGATATGGTGGTCCTCTAAATACTACTTGTTTTATTACCAGCCTAGGAAAGCAGAAGTTACTTTTCCTTCAAATTGTGATTTCTAGTGGATATACACTAGGATCATGTGAAGATTTCTTTAAAATTCCAAGGACATTAGAAAAACACAAAGAACATTATAGGAAATAATGCTACTTAAATACTATGCAGAAATTGAATAGTCAACGTTAAAAAACACAATCACTATGCTTATGTCATGATTCTTTGGATAATCAAAGCTAATTTAAAAGTATCACTTTAAGTAGAGGTAAATAAAAAGGAAAACAACCCATTTTTTACTTGGTTTGCCTATACCTTGTTTGGTTCCCCTGGATTATATGAAGAAAACATAGGAATTTTTCGGATCTCTTCCTCTGACAAACGATTTCTCTGGATCTCATCTTCAGGGACAAATTCTATTGGCTGCGTCAGCTTCTTAGGCCCAGTCCAACACTGCTCAGGTGAATTATCAATAACTTTTGCCACATGGAGACTGGGACCTTTACCCTGTGCTGCCTGTTTTCCCTTGTCCTGGAGTAATGACGGGTTCTCAGCTGTGCCACTATCACCCACTGATGTAGCTGAGACCAGTGAGTGGGAAGCAAAGGGTTCACCTCTCATAACTTGGAACTCTTCAAGACGTTTTTTCATTATCATCTCTTGGTAAAAATTTTCCAGGTTGTTCATGGGATCACCTTTGTTCTTCTTTTGGGGTTCATCTGGATCAAGACAAAGAGATAGGGAAGTTCTACAAAGCCTACCAATACAATCTTTGACAAATTAATAGAAATTAAATCTTGGATCTCAGATAAAGTAATTCTTCTGGGGCAGATCTTTATAACCTGTGACAAAATGACAATCTGATATAGCTGTATTATCATAGTTCCTCTCAAGCTGGGCCAGAACTAGAGTGAGGCAAGTGAGGCAACAAGAGCACACAATTTAAGGAGATGCCCACTTTCAGGGCCATACAAGTACATGCTCATCTAACTAATAAGGACAGTTTAAAATGTAACTAGTATAGCATTATCCCACTTCGCAAAAGTAGTAATTTCTTAGTACCATCTATCACCAGTTCATGATTATCTCAAAGATATCTTTTTTGAAATTTGGTTGTTTAATTGGGGATCTAAGCCAGCCTTTGGCTGTTTTGTCTTAGGCCTCTAATTCTAAAACAATGCCCCTCTTTCCCACCCCTCAAATGTATTTTCCCCCATCTCATTGATTTATTAAAGAAATCACATTTGTTTTTCAAACACATGAATTTGATTGTTTTTTTTCTTAGTGTTTAATTTGTTCCTCAGCTCTATTTCTTATAAACTGGCAGTTAAATCTAGACCTGTGCTATGTAATACAACAGCCACTAGTCACAAATATCTATTTAAATTAACTTTAAAAATATCAGTTCCTCAGTTAAACTAGTCACACTTGAAGTGCTCAACAGTCATGTGTGGCAAGTGGATATCATACAGAATAAAGACCATTTATCACCATTATAGAAAGTCTTACTGGAGAGTGCTGGTTTAGAGGTTTAATAAGATTCAAGTTCAGTACTTTTAGGAAAGAATCCTTCACAGGTAACATTTGTACTTCCTACTGCATCACATCATATGGCACAGAATATTTTAGTGATGCTGAAACTGATTAGTGGATTCAGGTGGTGGTAGTCTGATCCCTCTGTTACGAAGTTTTCTCATTCACTTAATGAGTTTTATATCCCTTGATAACTGCCTAGACCTCTTAATGTACTAAGAATTGCAAAAAGGAGTTGCCCAGATTCCATTATTTCTTCTGCATTAACTTTCTAGAATTCTATAATGAACTTACCGTCATTATATTGGTTTCCCTATATATAGCTCATACAGAAAAGGCAGGATAAATTTGGATTTTTCCCCCAAATTAAAATCAACAATGTAGTAATAAATTGGTGCCTTAGAAATGTCCAAAGGTGACAAACAATTATATGGTGCATTCATGTATTTTCATACATTTGATATGTTTCAATAAAATGTAGTTATTATTCTTTTCGGTGCAGGACCCATTGTAGGCCCAGTGAGAACCCCTTCAAACAGGTTCCTGCATTTCTTCCCAGTTTTCTGGAATAGCAAGATGTCCCAAACTTATCCTGCACATCTCCTGACTCAGACCTGCCTGTTTCTAAAGGACTCCCTGTTCCTTTTGGTGGGAAATGGTATTTGGAATCCACAGTGTATTGCTAGGTGTGCTCACTGCTAATGAGCTGTTTCTGTTTCTGGGCCAGATGGACAAGACTAGGGATTTTTTTTTTAAAGAGAATTATAAATCATGAATCCATACTGGTATGTCTACTTCAAATTTATTATTACAAGAATTTTTTCAGACTGATTTTTTCAGACTTACATCTCTTTACATACGTGCTTAAATTATTGGTTCCTAAAGATGTTAACAAAATTGTTAGCTTATTTCTATAATACATTTAAAGGATTTTTAATATGTCAATAATGATACTAAATATGTCATTCAACAATAAACTACTAAGTACAGTTTTGTTTCTTTGTAGTTATGTCTTGAAAACCTATTCCACTAGGAATATTCAAATATTGTTTTAAAATAACATTGTTTTCACTGTATGGTTATGCTACTCACTTTAATTATAGCTAGGTTCATTTGTTTCAGGTTGTTTATGAATTTAAGGGACCTATTGTTTTTCCTTTCTGACTAAACTTTTAAAACTATATAAAATACTTACATGGCTCTAAAATGAAGGTATATAGTACCTTCACAGAAGTCTTACTTTCAGCTGTCTCCTTCAGCGCATTCCTTACCTTCCCCACAAACAATGATTTGTTTTAGGTTTTGGTTTAATGGTTCTACTGTTTCTTTTTTGAAAAACATAAGCAACATATACACCAGCCAGATATATTTCTGTATATAACTCATTAGTTATTCCCCTCTCCTAAATAAAAGGCAAATATATAAACACTGTTCTGTAATTTCTTTTTCATATTTAATAAAACATCCTGGAGAGAGCGCCAAATTAATGTATAGAGCTCTTTTCTGCCCCTCTCCTGACTACCTAGTAATTTACTGTGGGAAGTACAGTTTATTCAACTACTCTCCTACTGATGCACAATGATACTGTCTTTAGTCTTTCATTGCTTTGAATAATGTCCTGAAAGTATTCTGCAAACAAGATTTTATATATTTTTTCCAGTCTATCTTTGAAATAGCTTCTTCCAACAGGTAGCACTGCTCAGACAAAGGGTAAACGTTTATGTAATTTTTCTGTACATTGCCAAATTATATTTTATAGGAGTTGTATTATTCTACATTTCCACCAGCAAGATACAAGAGGATTTATGGAAGGATTTTTTAAGATTCCAAAAGCACTCACCACAAAGGGAAATACTGACAAATTTAGCTACATTAAAATTAAAATGTTCATCAAAAATATCATAAAGGCATAGAAAAGCCACAGAATTAAAAAAAATTTTGTTGTACATTTAACTTATAAAGGACAAAACTACTAGGAAAGTGGGAAAAGATAAATTACCTCACAAAAGAGGAACTACACATGGCCAGTAAATATATGCAAATGTGACTATTGTATTAGAAATCAGGAAAATGCTAATTAATAAGAAAATCACTCATAGAAAACTGCCATGGTGGCAAAAACAATAAAATATGCTAATACCGTATCAGTGAAATTACAGGTAAATGGAACCTCATACACTGATGGTAGGAATGTACAGTCTTGGGGTACGTACTAATGTTAAATTATTGCTCACAGTATAACCCACAAATTATGTGTGTATGCATTCACATACATACACACTAGAAAAACTGGAGCATATGTATAACAGGATACAACAGTAACAAAAATGTTCACATCAGTGTTATTTAAAATAGCATGAGACTAGCAAAAATGCAAATGTATATCTAAAAGGAATCAGTTACAAAACTGTTTAAGCTTTATGTATGAAATACTATTCTATATAATGAGAAACTACACTTGAGCTATATATGGCCAAGTTAGATGAATATACTAATACTTATACTAAAAAATACTTAATCAGTAACTATTATGATCCAGGTACTATTCTAGATTCTTGGGATACATTAATAAATAAAACAATAATTCCTTCATAGTGCTCAGTACATTACATGGCAAGTAAAGGTTATGAGTGTTATGACAAAGGAAAAATATAGCAGAGTGAGGGGTGCCTGCTAGGGGTAGTAGTAAGGGTAGGTGCAATTTAATATTGTATTGGTCTAACTTAGAAAGTGACAGATGAGAAAAAATTTAAGCAAAGCAAGACAATCTATCATGCTGGAGTTCTTGAGGAAGGCCTTTTCCAGCTTCTAGTATCCACCTACATTTCTCACATTTCTCCAACCTCTACTACTATCACTATGACTCCCATGTCCTTTCTGAAGCTCCTACCTGCTTCTTTTGAGAACACCTGTGATTACATGGGGAGCCCCAAAGTAATCCAATATAATCTCCCTGTCTCAAGATGCATAAATAAAGTACACCAAAAAGTTCTAGTCAATGTGAAGAACCCAAAAAAAGCATTCAAGTTGGAAAAGAAGAAATAAAATTTTCTTTATTCATGAGAGTCATGATTATCTAGGTAAAAAATCATAAGGTATCCACAATATACTAGAACTACCAAAAAAGTTTAGTTACAGTATATGAGATCAATAAACTATATCAATCGTATTTCTCTATACTTGTATGCAATAATCAGAAAATGAAATAAGAAAGCAATTCTACTCATAAGAGCAGAAAATGAAGAAATTAAGAAAGCATAAGACCTGCAAACTGAAAACCATAAAACAGTGCTGAAATAAGTTAAAGATCTGAATAAATTAAATCACTCCATGATTATGGACTAGTTCTTTACCTTTATTTAAATATTATTAAAATGACAGTTTTCCCTAAATTGGATTATAGATTCAGTATGATCCTTATCAAATTCCAGCAGGCATTTTTGGTAGAAAATTTGACAGGCTGCTTCTAAAATTTACACTGACGAGCAAGGGGCCCATTAAAATAGCCAAAGCAATTTTGGAAGAGTAGTAAAGTTGGAGGAATTGCTCTATTCAATTTCAAAATTTAAATAAAGGTAAAGAGATTCAGAGTGAAAGGATAGTTATATAGATCAATGAAACCTAAATGAGTATCCAGAAATATACTCTTACTTTTATGGCCAACTGATTTTCCACAAAGGTTCCAAGACAATGCATCAGGGAAGGAACAACTTTTACAATAAAAATTACTCTAACAACTGACTATCTATACACAAAACTATGGATTGGCACCCTTCACATAAAAAAACTAACTCAAAATGGACTTGATCTAGTTATAAGAGCTAAAAATATAATCTAGAAGAAAACATAAGGACAGTATCTTTCTTGTTTTGAGTTCAGCAATGACTTCTAAGATACTATGCCAAAAGCAAAGTCATAAAGGAACAATCTGAGAAATTGAACTTCATTAAAACTTTAAAGTTTTATACTTCAAGACATCATTAAGAAAATAAAGACAAGCTATAGATTGGAAGAAAATACTTTCACATTATATACCTTACTCAGGACTTCAGAAAACACAATAGGTGCTATTACGCAATACTAAGAAAAAGAAAGCCAAATAAAAAATTGTATAAATGACTTGAATAGATATCTCATCAAAGACAACATAAGAATACCTAATAAGCACACATGAAACAGTACTCAA